CACCGGTTCTTTTTTAAACGTTGTTAATATGTTTTGGATGCATATTGTTCTAGTATTTGTTCAGGCTGTTACATACAATTAGCCTCTGTTGCTACCTGCTGGTGGTGAGTAAATATTAAAATCAGTTAAAATTGACAACCGGTCCGCGATTTTTTTTTTAATGTATCTGCCGGTCCTTGACCCAATAAAGGTTGGGAACCCCTGGGTTAGATAACAGGTGTGTTTAAATCCTGCATCTGTATGATACAAATGTGTGTAAAATGATACGAGTGCTGTAATCACTCATCTGGTTACGTTATTGCATTGACCACCACACCCCCGACCCAAAAGAAAGGACGTATTATTGGCCTCCCCTAAAAAAAATTTCCACGCCACGCTACTGTTTGTTAAAGGTTGTAGTTCTTGTTTCTTTGTCTGTTGCTTTGCAGGGAAAGGTTTTAAGGGTCCGTGTACTTTTTGTCAGTTTGATTTTTCGTTTTAAACAAAAGCCAAAAAACGGAAATACCAGCCTTTTTCCGTTTTTTCGTTTTTTATTTAAAACGAAAAAACGGGAAACCAAAGCCGTTTTTCCGTTGTTGTTGTCTGAATAAAAAGACCGATAACGAGAAAACCTAATTAAAAAAAGGTAAGTGTACGTTTTGTTAGTTTGATTTTTCGTTTGAACCAAAACATGAGAAAAATGAAAATACCAGCCTTTTTTTGTTTTAAATCAAAAACGAAAAAACGTGAAACCAAAGCCGTTTTCCTGTTTATGTTGTCTGAATCAAAAACGGATAACAAGATAAAAACGGTCTGATTTTGGTTTTTGATAACAATGTTCCGTTTTGTATTGAAGAATGAAGAAAAGCAGTCCGCTTGACCGGAAGTTAAAGAACATATTTCAAAATAAAAGACACGAGGCTATAATGGCAATGCTGTAAAAGACCCATAAGTCTGACGACCCTTGGCCCCCCTGCTTCCGGCACCCATGCTGACGAGGATACGTTTATTTCTGCATTCACATGCAGATATGCGTTTATAGAGATTAATACAAGTATGCAAGCTCTGGGCATAATTGTATTCCTTGACTTCCGGTTTGTACTGTGTTGGCAAATCCAGTGTCCAGCTTGTCGCTGTGTGACAACGTCATGTTTGTTGCATACCTGCAAGATTTACCTGTGACAAATGTCAGCGATGTGAACAGAACTGTCACCCTACTTTCACCTGCACCCAGCAGCAAGCGGGAGAACAATATATCATACAGTCGACCCCTAAAACAGTTCACACAGTAATGGAACAGTTGTTAAGCATTATTTTGTCCAACTAGTCTACATTATGAATTTGATGTTTGTCTAAACTGCTAAGAAGCTGACAGCTCAGTTAGAACAGAAAGACATGCAGGCCATAATCACTAGACGCTCAAAAGAGGAATGTGTGTGTAAGGCTTACATGAACTGAATTGAAACATTGTCCATTAGTTGATTAATAAACAAGACATTCAAGTCAAAGTTTTAGGCATTTTCATTTGTAGCACGCTGTAAATATGGACTATGAATGAACACATGCAATGTGGAAACACACAAATAGGTTTATTCTCAATACTCATAACAGTATCAGACACAATGACTTTACTGAGAGTGAAGATGACATGAACATAGTAACTGTATGGTACTGAAGACAACATACAGTATATTGCATTTACCTCTTCCTCTAACTCTCTCTCCAATATTGGCCTCCATTGTTGTGCACAACAAAGTGTTCAAGCTCAGGTTTCTAAGTGATATCATTTTAACATGTGCATTCTGGGTGCAGGGTTAGTAGGGCTAACCCATATCTGTTCAATAGATGAAAGGCAACTTGAGTTTAATAATTGTGCCAAAAGTACCAGTTTGTGTCTTGGTAATTGCACAAAGCTGTAATAGGCCACAAATAATCACATTTTTCTAAAAACACAGCAGCAAAACCTATTTTATCCACACAAAAATGAAGGCCCACCTGAAAAAAAATCGCTATTTTTAGCATTAAATAATGTACACTTAAACTGATATAGCTTTTTTGGTGGAGAAAATAAATGTTGCTTTTGCCCACGTCCTCAGCAGTACATGGCTCTGCTGTGCCGGGGCTCCTGTATGTTTCTCCACACGACTACTGTAGGTAGTACACTGATTATGGATATATACCACACACTACCCCACTTCAAAAGACCAGAACTATCCCGTGTGTAGTTTTAGTATTTGAATTACAATGACATTATTCTCAGACTTGCCATAGTTCTTGGTTTGTACCACTGCTGCTCTGCTCTGTACAGCTGAGTACTGGGGACCCACTGGGAGTCATGTGACTGGAGCAGGAGAGTAACACACGTCACACCTGCAGCCATGATGCTCCAGCTCAATGGGGGTCGAGTCTTTCAGCCCCACCTGTAAGAAGAGAAACAAAATAAATACGTATTCAGTTTGCTTTGTATTATTTCTTTTAGGGTAACATTTTGGTTTAATAACATTGTGCTATTTTAAGGAGTAAATAAGTCATATATTTGTTCCTAAATGTTTTCTATACTTACAACTTCTTATACATACTGATATGAATTGATTTACTTGTATACTATGAACGAAGAAAAATGACTCTTTAACAACAGAACAGGAACAAAACACAACTGTGACCCCTGTGCAGCACACACAGACCAGTCAGTCCATTTCTGGGGAGTAGCTAGTACCCTTGTGCTAGTTATATTAAAGTTGATGTTTTACTATTGGCTGTGTCTAACCTGTCTGAAATGAGCCAAATCCCCAGGAACATGTTGAGCCAGACGGTAACTAAGACAGTAACACTTCATCCTGACCTCACTGTGGGGCCTGTCCTCATGGACCTGTAGCATAACACCCTGACACTAAAATACAAAGTATGTTCATTAAGAATGCACATACTGTCCCTCCTCTGTCTTTCAATGTAGTCAAACTTGTTGAAGAAAAACAATAAGTTTAACATTACAGAAATAAAAGCTTAATTACTCACCCTCCTAATTGTAGACGTAACTTCACAAGTACAACTTGAAACATTTCTCCCGCTTGCTGCTGGGTGCAGGTGAAAGCAGGTCGATATTTCTGTTTACATCGCTGACATTTGTCACAGGTAAATCTTGTAGGTATATCACAACAAACATGACGTTGTCACACAGCGACAAGCTGGACACTGGATTGACCAAATAATTACACACTCTTATTTACATTTGACACGTTATTCAAAACCGACAGCCTGTGTGTTGTTTGCAAAACACTGCCACTGAAATACCACACTCAATTATCAAGCCCCTGCACCCAGAATGCACATGTTCAAAGCCATGTAACCAATTAGATCACTTAGAAACCTGAGCTTGAACACTTTGTTGTGCACAACAATGGAGGCCACTTTTGGAGAGAGAATTAGAGGAAGAGGTAAATGCAATATACTGTATTTTGTCTTCACTACCATACAGTAACTATATGTTCATGTCATCTTCACTCTCAGTAAAGTAATTGTGTCTGATACTGTTATGAGTATTGAGAATAAACCTATTTGTGTGTTTCCACATTGCATGTGTTCATTCATAGTCCATATTTACAGCGTGCTACAAATGAAAATGCCTAAAACTTTGACTTGAATGTCTTGTTTATTAATCAACTAATGGACAATGTTTCAATTCAGTTCATGTAAGCCTTACACACACATTCCTCTTTTGAGCGTCGAGTGATTATGGCCTGCATGTCTTTCTGTTCTAACTCAGCTGTCAGCTCCTTACTGTCCTAATGTGCACAATGTAGTGACTGTTTTTTTGTCTTTTGTTTTCTTAGTTATGTTCTCTGTATTTTATATGTTTGTGTTATGTGTAACGTTGCTGCCTTCTTGGCCAGGTCAACATTGCAAATGAGATTATATCTCAATGCTTTTATCTGGTTAAATAAAAAATAAATAAAAATAAAATTAGCAGTTTAGACAAACATCAAATTCATAATGTTGGACAAATTAACAACTGTTCCATTTACTGTGTGAACTGTTTTAGGGGTCGACTGTATGCTATATCGTTCTCCCGCTTGCTGCTGGGTGCAGGTGAAAGTAGGGCGATAGTTCTTATCTTATCTTGCAGGTATGCAACAAACATGACGCTGTCACCAGTCTATGGTTGTCACACAACGGCAAGCTGGACAGACCGGAAACCGGAAGTCAGCTAAATAAAGCTATGCACAGTGCTTGCATACTTGTATTGATCTCTATAAACGCATATCTGCATGTGAATGCAGAGATAAACTTATCCTCGTCAGACTTCTGGGTTCCAGGATTTAACTTTTACAGCATATCCTCGTGTCTTTTATTTTGAAATATGTTCTTTAACTTCCGGTCCACCGGACTGCTTTACTTCATTCTTCAATACAAAACGGAAAATTGAATGAAGTTGTTATCAAAAACCAAAATCAGACCGTTTTTTTTTATTAGGTCTTCTTGTTATCCGTTTTTTGATTCAGACAACATAAACAGGAAAACGGCTTTGGTTTCCCGTTTTTTCGTTTTTGATTTAAAACGAAAAAAGGCTGGTATTTTCGTTTTTTGGTTCAAACGTTAAATCAAACTAACAAAACGTACAGACTTTTTTTGGTCAGGTTTTCTCGTTATCCGTGTTTTTATTCAGACAACAACAACGGAAAAACGGCTTTGGTTTTCCGTTTTTTCGTTTTAAATCAAAAACGAAAAAACGGAAAAAGGCTGGTATTTTCGTTTTTTGGCTTTTGGTTTAAACGAAAAATCAAACTGACAAAAAGTACACGGACCTTTAAGGTAGCCTATGTGGATTTTGTTTTTGACCAAAAGAGCAAATGTAGCTACCAGCTGCTAAACTATAGTTACAACCTTTCAGATTGTACATTTAGTCATTTAATTTAAATATTTGAATGGTTTCATCCCCCATAGGCCTACAGTAAGTAGGCTGTTTGGATTTACAATAATGTATTTTGTAATATAATGTATGCTTTATTTTTTAGGGATGAACATTTACATAACTACTCTGTAGCTATGTTCTTATGACAAATAAAGAACCTTGAACCTTGATGACTTAACTTAATGCTTGTAATATATAAATGCTCCAAATACCAAATCATTAAATTGCCAAGCCTATAGAATGGCATGAATAAAAAGGCCTACAATTAAATTAAGCATGCATGTCCTGCATACAATTAAAGCATCACATTCATGTTTTAAGTAAATTATTTCATTAGCAAACTGTTTTAAATAAAGACAAACTCATCTACCCCTGCGTAACTGCGTCACAGAGTCTCGCGTGTTTTTAAATCCCCGGCGGGCTAACCCCTTTAGCAGCTGAAGGGTTAGCTCGGCGTCACAAGACAGAGGGCAGCGCCAGGAGCTAAACATTAACCACACTGCTGCTTTTACTTGTCCAAATAAGTTTTTCGTTGACAGAGAACATGGCGACGACTGTGTGGTCCAAAGGACAGATGTTGTTCGGGTATTCCTCGAGGCTGCACCGAGCAACCAGGTAAATAAGTTATTTTAACTGTACAGCATAATTACATGTTTATTAAAAAGTCTGTGCAACGTTCTGTATGTTTACCTTTAAGTGTAAGAGTAAGTTACATTTTAAAATCTAACCTTACATGCCTGAACTTGGAAATTATGTGCGATAGTTTGCTATTAAAAACGTTACCAAACAAAAATATTGCTAAACAGACTTTTCTGTGTTTATGCAACACAAACGAAGCTTTTGTGTTTATTTCAGCCTGCATCTTAACTTTTTATCTATATTTGTATCCACATCAAGTTTAAGAACTGAATGGTAAAGTGGGTCAATGTGTGCGTGTAATAGCCTACAATATGCTGAAGTAAACACCTTCTATGTAAGACAGCAGGGTCATTATTAACTAAACAACCAGGCAGTTTTCCAAAGCAGCTTTAATCATTTGCTGGACCTCTGAACTTTGTCCTGTAAAGCTTCACTTAGTTTAACCACCACTTGTTGACATCTTATCTGTGCTTCCACACTGTATGCATCTCCCCTGTATCTGGCTTTATCCAGCAACATATTTTCTAGCTCGATTACTACTTTTGTTATTTTTCAGAGGAGCCATGGTACATTCTAATTATAGTTTCTAATTAAAGCCCTTAAGGTTAATACAAAATAAGTCTCTCTGACCTTGAAAGTTTGATTGGGGATTTCAGAATATTAAATAAAGCCTTAGAAAGTGTCTGTGAATTAACAAGTAAACATATGCACAATATAGCTTCTTCTTAATCCATTAGTGGGCATATACCAACTATCCTCGCTTCTTGGTCCAACACACACAGAAATCCCTAAATTGAAGTTAATGTTGACATTGAAGCAGCTTTAAAAATGTTTTAAAATTCAAAGTCCATTAAAAGGGAATCCTTAAACTGTCCTTGGATTTCATTTCATTTCAAACCTTTATTTAGACAGATAAATCCCATTGAGATCATTGATCTCTTTTTCAAGGGAGACCTCAAGTAGTTACACATGAAAACATAAATAGAACAACAAAAGGACATCATACAGCATCATTTACATAACTATCCACATAAACAGGTACCAATAGCTTCCGATTGAGTAGCATCCAACCGAGCTTTAAAAACATTTAGTGGCACCAGATTGTTCAGTTTCCATTTAATTTGCAGACTATTCCAAGACAGAGGAGCTGCGCATCTAAAAGCTGTCTTCCCTAAGACAGTCCTAGCAGTTGGCACATTTAATAAAACCACAGCATTCGATCTCAGGCAGTAGCCACTTACAATTTTCCGTGAGATCAGGGAGCAGATATAAGATGGAAGTTTCCCTAACATGGCTTTGTATATAAAAATGTACCAGTGACTGAGCCTCCGTACAGTTAGTGAAAGCAAACCAGCCCTTGCATACAGGGTACAGTGATGCGTTAATGCTTTACAGTTTGTCACAAATCTTAGTGCACTGTGATACGCAGCATCTAACTTGACCAGGCAATTGGCAGGTGCATTCATATAAATCAAATCACCATAGTCCAGCACAGGTAAAAAGGTTACAGAGCCTTTTCCTGGCCTCAAGCGAGAAACAGGACTTGTTTCTGAAAAAGAAACCTAGCCTAACCCTCAGCTTTTTAAGCAGGTTATTGACATGAAGTTTAAAAGTAAGACAATCATCAAGCCAGATACCAAGGTATTTGTAACAGGTAACCACTTCAAGTTTTATTCCTTGCGTAGTTACAATATCTAAAACAGGCTCTGGTGTCTTTTTAGCTTTAGAAAAGAGCATTACCTTAGTTTTATCAACATTTAAAAGAAGCTTAAGTTCAGCAAGCTGAGTCTGAATAATGTTAAAAACAGCCTGTAATTTAACACCAGCCTCCTTAATGGAGGGACCTGCACAATACATCACGGTATCATCAGCATAAAAATGTAAAGTAGCTTCATCCACATTTTCACCTAAGCTGTTGATATATATGGAGAATAAAAGTGGACCTAAAACAGAACATTGAGGAACACCATTAGCAATGTTTAACCGCTCAGAAGACAGCCCATCAAAGTGAACACATTGGGACCTTTCAGAGAGGTAGTTTTCAAACCACCCCACCGCATGGCTGGACATGCCTATACTGGCTAGCCTCTGCTTTAAGATGTGATGATCGACGGTATCAAACGCTTTTGAAAGGTCAATAAATAGAGCTGCACAACTCTGCTTATTATCTAAAATACTCGTAATGTCATTCACCACTTTCATTGTGGCAGTGATGGTGCTGTGTTGCTTTCTGAAGCCTGACTGATGTTTAGATTGAATGTCATTCTGAGCGTTGAAGCAATACATACAATGACATAGCTCTATACAACCAATTACATGTATGGATTGTTTTTGTGATTATTCAAGCCTTAAATAATATTTTTTTTTACCTCAACGTATTAGTATCAAAAGTGCAATTGTCCCTGTTTGCTGTAATGCCACCATTATATTCCTTTCCAGTTTATTTTCTTTAGCCCAGTTCCTTTAAAATACCCAACCGATTAAATACCTGTCACCTCTGACTTTGAGAGACTGTTATTCATTCCTTAATACTGATTAAGTAACAATAGTTACTAAAGTGATTACAATTCCCCTTATCCACTCCAGAGTGGTTGAGAAGAGGTGTTTTCCTGAAGACACAAGCTACTATTCATCCCACTCACTCCTACAGTATGCATGTTTTTCATATCAAAGAATGTTACCATATTTTAGCTGATATGTCACGCAGATCTCCACGTTTGAGTTTTTCCTTTTTAAATCGAAAAACTTTTTACGTTGTTGCTTTGAGCCTTTGTGATACTTCTGTCATCTCGTTTCTGTGTAGGAGGTTTTCGGAGAGCGGAGACAAAGGCTGGTTCCGTTCCGTATTTGCGCACAAACTGGATGCCAGGAAAGATGCCCACTCCAACTTGTTGTCAAAGAAAGAGACCAGCAACCTGTATAAAATTCAATGTAGGCATAAAGATCTATACTTTGGTTCAAGTGAAGGTTTGACTTCATTCAGTGTGAGGCTGCACAGGGCCAGACACAAGTCAATGGGATACATGTGTTGCATCATATTATAATGAAATGTATTCTGTTTTATGTTTCAACAGTCTATTATCCATTTATCTCTGTAGAAAATGGCTAAACAAATAATATTGATACAATTAAATCTGGCTTCAGTGACCTCAGAGAGAACTATATGTTACATGACATTACGGACAAGCACAGCTTTGCACTTTAACACATTTTTGTTATATCATACATGTGAAACATACAGGCAGCAACAAGTCAATATATTATAGTGTGAGGTGCCAAGTCTGTACAGTTTTAAAGCGACATCAAAACAACGTTTTCTTTTGAGTCTGTGGTGATAACTGTGTCTGTCTCTTGTAGAGAAATCTATCATTCTTCCTAGGGCTTTGATCTTTCTTGTGGCGTACATCACACCATGTGGGGATTTCAATTTGAACACTCTATCGGCCGTAGCCTATAACCTATTGAAAGCAAATCAGTTTTTTGAATAGGAGCCTGTGCTGAATCAGAGTGTGAAATTACTTTGTTGAGGAATTTTAAGGGTTGCTTTTATAAAAAAAAAAAACACCTCTTTGTGATATGACTGTCTTTTTTTTTCCAGTTCACAACGTCAAACCAGAGTGCATGGAAGCATACAACAGTCTAGAGTGAGTGTGTTCACTGCTTTAAAACGTGTCTTGCATTTATTCAAACAATATAGTATATTTCGACAAGTACGACATCCTTTGCATGTCTAATTAGGTTTCTTTCAAACGTACATTTTGAAAACCTGCATTTCCACATAATTAAAGACAGATTACTGAGATTAGGTAAATTATGCTTTCAGTTAATGGGCTGCTAATTACATTTTGTTTCGTATAATTCTGAGATGGAAAATATTGCATAATAGTCCTGCAGAATCTCAAGAGTAATTCATTGTAAAATTGAAGTGATATCTTGGGTGTAACAGCAAGATGGATATTTGTGGATTTATTACTCTCTGAGGGCCTTCTAGTTGTTCCTGGTGACAGTATATTATGACTTCTGGCACATTCACGCAATTGATCAAATATCGTAATATTTGTTATGCTGCCCTTAGGGCTGAGGTGCAAACCAGGCTCCATCAGAACCAGGATTACCCATGTGAGGTGGTCGGAAGCTGGAATACCTGGTATGGAGAACAGGACCAAGCAGGTAAGCAGCAATCACAACAGTAAACAGACAACATGTTAAAAAAATAAATAAAAAAGTGTCACATCTTGTTGATCACATTCACCGTTTGTTTGAGGGTTAGTACCTTTTTTCTGGCCCCATGAATGTTCATAGCTGCAGTGAATTGTTTGGCAGAGCATGACAGAGAAATGTACAGACACTACCAGATGACTCACGCCAGCGCTTCTCCCGCTACACATGCTCATTTACACTGTATAATGTACATTAGGATCATTCAGTGACAGGCAGAAGTGATCACAATGCATTGGACCGTGTCTGTTTGCTGTGTGGGTGGCTTCAGTCCTCACACAGTGCTGCAGTGACATCTGCTGCTCTGTTTGTTGCAGTGCATCTATGGCGATACAGAGGAGGATACCCGGCCTTGACTGAATGCCTGAAGAAGCTGAACAATGACAAGGTTGACTGTGAACTGTTTCTTAAGCGTTAACCTTGTTGCACAGAATGGAAAAACTGATATTTAAAATGCAATTTACACTGATTTGAGTTTCTTATCAGCATTCCAGAATTTCCTTTTTCAATTGAGCAAAATAAAATAACTATAGTATATCTTATTGAAAACATTTTTATCTCCCTTCAGGCGTATTTCGAGTTTCGCAAAGAGAGGGCAAAAATGTTGATTTCAAGGCGAAATCAGCTCCTCCTGGAGTTCAGTTTCTGGAATGAACCCGTGCCCAGACCCGGACCAAACATCTATGAAATGCGAACATATTTTCTCAAGGTATATCCACATATATTGTACACATTAATGCCATGACTAACATGTTCCTGCACTTTACACTATAGATTTTATTTTCAGAATGATATAGAATTGACATGAGTCAGTTCTCTCAGTTGGGTAGTTTCATTCAAATAAAATACTAATGAAGCTTTTCATATATTAAGACTACAAATGGACTTACAGTTTGAATTAAAAGTATTAGTTTAAGGTTTCTGAAGATGACTTTTTTTAATAAATCACATTTATAGAAGTAACATACTGATTTAACTCCCGTGAAAATGATAAAAATGTGCAGCAGATCTTTTATTTTGTAATGGTCATCTCATAATAAATGAACCCATACTTAAAGGTGGGGTAGGTAATTTTGGAGAAACCAGCTGGAGTGCGCTAGAATTTAAAAAAAATACACAACCGGAAAAAATCTGCCACTTCCTTACAGAGCCCCTCCTCCAACACACAGGAACGCGCACATGACCAATGAGGGCACGAGATAAGTTTGTGCACAGATGGAAGGCTGACAGGCAGGCAGGCCATCCAGTTATTTTAGCCGGGCCGGCTCAGATGATTGGTCGTACTTTTTACAGTATTACGGCTTCCACAGATGACATTTTTATGGATTTTTTGTCAAAGCACTTAAGATATTCATTGCTATCGGGATGTTAAGAGCATTCCATGGAATATAACAAAAAGTGTATCTCGAGCCGGTTTCTCAAACTTACCAACCCCACCTTTAATATTGCAGTTCTTTAATCCCCTACTAGTATGTCCATCCATCCATCCATCTTCTCCTGCTTATCCGTGGTCGGGTCGCGAGGGTAGCAGTTCCAGCTGAGAGCCCCAAACTTTCTTTTCCCTGGCGACATCAACCAGCTCTGACTGGGGGATCCCAAGGCGCTCCCAGGCCAGCGAAGAGATATAATCCCTCCACCTGGTCCTAGGTCTACCCCTTGGTCTCTTCCCAGCTGGACGTGCCTGGAACACCTCCCTAGGGAGGCGCCCAGGTGGCATCCTAACTAGGTGCCCGAACCACCTCAACTGGCTCCTTTCGACGCGAAGGAGGAGCGGCTCAACTCCGAGTCCCTCCCTGATGACCGAACTTCTCACCTTATCCCTAAGGGAGACACCAGCCACCCTGCGGAGAAAACCCATCTCGGCCGCTTGTATCCGCGATCTCGTTCTTTCGGTCATGACCCATCCTTCATGACCATAGGTGAGGGTAGGAACGAAAATGGCCCGGTAGACAGAGAGCTTTGGCCTTCTGGCTCAGCTCCCTTTCGTCACAACGGTGCGGTAAAGCGACTGCAGTACCGCTCCCGCTGCTCCGATTCTCCGGCCCATCTCACGCTCCATTGTTCCCTCACTCGAGAACAAGACCCCGAGATACTTGAACTCCTTCACTTGGGGTAAGGGCTCATTCCCTACTTGAAGTGGACAGTCCATCGGTTTCCTGCTGAGAACCATGGCCTCAGATTTGGAGGTGCTGATCCTCATCCCAGCCGCTTCACACTCGGTTGTGAACCGATCCAGTGAGTGCTGAAGGTCGCAGACCGATGAAGCCATTAGAACCACATCATCTGCATAAAGCAGTGGTGCAATCCTTAGTCCACCGAACTGCAGACCCCCTCCCCCATGACTACGCCTCGAAATCCGATCCATGTATATTACAAACAGGATTGGTGACAAAGCGCAGCACTGGCGGAGGCCAACCCTCACCGGAAATGGGTCCGACTTACTGCCGAAGACCCGGACACAGCTCTCGCTTTGGGAGTACAGAGATTGGATGGCCCTGAGTAGAGACCCCCTCACCCCATACTCCCGCAGCACCTCCCACAGTAACTCCCTGGGAACTCGGTCATACGCCTTCTCCAAGTCTACAAAACACATGTAGACCGGATAAGCGTACTCCCAGGCCCCCTCCAGGATCCTTGCGAGAGTAAAAAGCTGATCCGTCGTTCCACGACCAGGACGGAATCTGCATTGTTCCTCCTCAATCTGAGGTTCGACAATCGGCCTGACCCTCCTTTCGAGTACCTTAGAGTAAACTTTCCCGGGGAGGCTGAGTAGTGTGATGCCTCTGTAATTGGCACACACCCTCTGATCCCCCTTTTTAAAAAGGGAACCACCACCCCGGTCTGCCACTCCTTCGGTACTGTTTCCGACTTCCACGCAACGTTGATGAGACGTGTCAACCATGACAGTCCCTCAACACCCAGAGCCTTCAGCATTTCCGGGCGGTTCTCATCCACCCCCGGGGCTTTGCCACTGTGGAGTTGTTTGACGACCTCAGTGACCTCCCCCCGGGAGATTGGTGTTGATCCCTCGTCATACTCCAGCTCTGCCTCTAACATAGAGGGCGGAGTTGTCGGGTTCAGGAGTTCCTCAAAGTGTTCCTTCCAACGCCCTAACACTCCATCAGTTGAGGTCAACAACGTCCCATCCTTACTGTACACAGCTTGGATGGTTCCCTGCTTCCCCCTCCTGAGGTGTCGGACAGTTTTCCAGAACAACTTTGGTGCCGCCCGAAAGTCCTTCTCCATGTCTTATCCGAACTTCTCCCACACCCGCTGCTTTGCCTCGGCCACGGATGAGGCTGCTGACCTTCGGGCCTGTCGGTACCTTGCAACTGCCTCGGGAGTCCCCCGGGATAAGAAATCCCTGAAGGCCTCCTTCTTCAGTCGGACGGCTTCCCTGACCACCGGTGTCCACCAGGAGGTTCGAGGGTTACCGCCCCTTGAGGCACCTAGGACCTTGAGACCACAGCTCCCCGCCGCGGCTTCGGCAATAGAAGCTTTGAACACCGACCACTCTGGTTCAATGTCCCCAACCTCCACAGGAATGCCCGAAAAGCTCCGCCGGAGGTGTGAGTTGAAGGCCTCCTGAACTTGGGCCTCCTCCAGATGTTCCCAGTTTACCCGAACTACACGTTTGGGCTTACCAGGTCTATCCAGAGGCTTCCCCCGCCACTCGACCCAACTCACCACCAGATGGTGATCAGTTGACAACTTCGCCCCTCTCTTTACCCGAGTGTCCAAAACATACGGCCTCAGGTCCGATGATACGATAACGAAATCGATCATGGACCTTCTGCCTAGGGTGCTCTGGTACCACGTACACTTATGAGCATCCTTATGTTCGAACATGGTGTTTGTTATGGCCAATCCATGACTAGCACAGAAGTCCAGTAACAAACCACCATTCCGGTTCAGATCAGGGGGGCCGTTCCTCCCAATCACGCCCCTCCAAGTGTCTCCATCATTGCCCACATGTGCGTTGAAGTCTCCCAGCAAGATTAAAGAGTCCCCTTCAGGAGCCCCATACAGGACTCTTTCCAGGGTCTCCAAGAAGGCCATATACTCTGAACTGCTGTTGGGTGCATAAGCACACACAACAGTCAGAGTTTCCCCCCCCATAACCCGCAGGCGTAGGGAGGCGACCCTCTCGTCCACTGGGGTAAACTCCAACAACGAAGCACCTAACCGGGGACTTGTGAGTATCCCCACACCCGCCCGGCGCCTCACACCTTGAGCAACTCCGGAGAAGAATAGAGTCCAACCCCTATCCAGAATTAAGGTTCCAGAGCCGACGCTGTGCGTAGAGGTGAGCCCAACCAGATCCAACTGGTAATGCTCCACCTCCCGCACAAGCTCCGGCTCCTTCCCCCCCCCAGAGGGGTGACGTTCCACGTCCCCAAAGCCAGATTCTGTCGCCCGAGTCTGGTCCGTCGAGACCCTCTGCTTTCACTGCCACCCTTCTGGCAGCGCACCCGACCCCATCGATGTTTCCCGTAGGTGGTGGGCCCCGCGGGACGGAGAAGCGGAGGTGTTGCCCACGTTGCCTTTTCGGGCTGGGCCCGGCCGGGCTCCGTGGCAAGTCCGGCCACCAGACGCTCGCCGACGAGTCCTCCTTCTGGGCCTGGCTCCAGAAGGGGACCCCGGGCTTCCTCCGGGCCGGGTATCCTCACTTCTTGTGTCGTCTTTCATGAGGTCTTTTGAACCAATCTTAGTCTGGCCCCTTGCCTGAGACCAATTTGCCATGGGAGACCCTACCAGGAACACAAGGTTCCAGACAACACAGCCCCCAGGTTCATCAGGGCACACAAACCTCTCTACCACGGTAAGGTGCTGGTTCTTCAGAGAGGTACCTACTAGTATGTAAGGCTACCAAATTGTTGCAAAAAACATATTTTTACAGGAACACTAATATTTATAATTACATATTCTTTGAGTGTTTATCATGGCTTAGCTGACACTGATGCATTTTGTTTGCCAAAGTATGTAATATAACCATTTGTATCACAGAGCAGCCTGTCCATAAACTGAATGTAAGAGCCACTTTGTACACATACAGGTATTATTAACATGAGGATGAAGAGGTAGGTGCCTTTTAAATCAGGCTGAAATGTTTAAGCCTATGAGCCAAGGGGATCTTTGTCCACGCTAGTTGTTTACCATCACTGTTTAATACAGTTTTATGGTACCATACACATAACTGACATTTAAAATATTTTGCATACCTTTGGTCTTCCTGTTGTCTTGAAATAATTATATTTGTTTCCTCTTTTCTCTCACATTAATGCCAAGAGGTTAGGAATTTGTTCAATCATACTTGTATTCCACCCTGTCCTTACAAATGCTAATAGTGTGATTGTACATCTTTTGTTATTCACAGTTGACTTATTGGGTTAGGTAGTGAGCTGTCCACACATTTAGAGGTGTACCTGATAAAGTGGTTAAAAACACAACTATGATCAAATCTGTGTGCAACCAAATCTGAAGTTCTTCCTGCATATGGGCTCATGTGGCTTATTGAGTTGGTCGGTCCGTGTAAAATAAACAAGTCAAGTCATGTTTGAACTGTTTTAATAATTTACCTCCACACTTGTGTTTCAGCCAGGAACCATGATTGAATGGGGAAACCACTGGTAAGGCTTAATATTTTCCTAAAAATAGATAATATCAGCCGCCTGAACTTTTTCAGAAGTAAGCATTAAGTATAACCGGTGTTTAGGTGATCATTATACCCCTGAAAATAACATGTCTCACAACAGGGCGAGGGCAATCATGCACAGACAGGAAAACAACGAAGCAATCGGCGGCTTCTTCTCACAGATCGGGGACCTATATGTCGTTCATCATTTGTGGGGTGAGTATGTTACATAACAAGACATTCAATTATTTGGTAAATCTGCCGCTATAAGTTATTTGTACAGCCAAAACTACAATTTGCCTGATCCCTTAACTTAGGGAAGCTAAAGGTTTTATATAAGTATCATTTATTTATTTACTCATAATGTAACATTCGGTTTGGTTACTTTTGTTTGCAGCGTATGAAAGCCTCCAGTCCCGAGAGGACACCAGGAGCTCTGCCTGGCTAAAGGACGGATGGGATGCAAATGTGTATTATACCGGTATGAGAGAAGCAAACAACCACACATACACTCCCAAGAAAATCATCCACAGTTAAACTAAAAGTGTCATATCATCATATATTTGTATTTTAAAAAGAGGGATTCAGATCAAATCAGTGACTGAATTTGTGGCTTAACTTCCATGAATGCAATAAGAAGTGTTGCTTCAAATACGATGGATAGGATTGCAGATAGGAGCTTAATCAGCCTGTCAAATAAACATACTTTACATTTGAAGCACTGCAGACATTTTACTTCACAGATGCAGTGAGTTTAAAGTACATAGAGAACTGGTGTATTGAAATATAAAGTGAACTGGACTATCACTTCCTGTTAAGTGTTTTAAGCAACAGATGAGAATATAGGAAGAGATCATCCTCAGTGGTTTTGGAGAAGAGAGCCCACAGGTGGATGCTGAGGAAGTGAAAGGAGCAACGATTTATTTACCAAGAGAAAACTTTTAGCAGCAAAGTGAGCAGGTAAGCACAGGGTTATATGTGAGTTAGCATATTAGGGAGACGCTTTCTTGCCTGTATAAAATATACATGCAAGTACTCAGCCTCAGCTCATTAAGACACATGTATAGCTAGATAGATATCTCAATAAGCAATATTAGCAATATAAGTAGTTTTCTGAGATTGTAAAACATGGTGAAAACAGTGAACATGATGTGATTAGAGTATTCTGTGAAATAATGTAACAGTTGCAGCAAATTACCCTTCATTGTATTGTCTTTAAGATAATGGGTTACTCTCTCTCTCTCCTCAGTGCCATTGATCAGAAGCATGGAGTCTAGGATAATGATCCCCACCAAAAGTTCACCCTTACAATAAGAAGATGGTGGAACCTGGGAGCATGAACTAAATCTCATTCACCTACTGCCAGAGCAAAATGCAATAATAATAATAATACATTTTATTTATCAGGTGCTCAATTTGTCAGATTGTTTTCATCTGCTGGATGATCTGTATTAAGTTCAAGTATGTAAACTGATTCAATAATTGCACAGCAGCCAGCCAGTTATGCAAAGTAATGGTGAAGAGTAGACTTTGAGGATCCTGAAATGCCCCCAGTTCAAGAAGTTTAGGTAAAATATGTAAAACACGACAATACTGGCCCCATTATAATACCACATGGTATTTCTTCCACTACTTGCATGTATGTTACGCTATAGATTGTGAATTACATTTCAAGTGAGGTGTGTATCCTGCTTTTTGTTTTTAGGATGAATAATGGTAATGGGCCGTGTATTTGTATTTCACAATAGTCTCCACCCAGGCTTTTATGATTGCACTTTTATGACTGGAAATGAATCCTAGTGAATGAGATCACAATGAGCTTCACAGCTGTTTGATTGAAAATAAAACTTGTCGAACCTCACACAAATATCTGATCATTTCGCTGTTTCAACAGTAAGATAATAATTTCCATTTTTATAGCGCCTTTCAAGAGACCCAAGGACGCATTACAATGGGAAACAAAACAACAAAAATAATAATAATAAGATGCGGAACTGAGGCAGTCTGTATCTTCGTAAAAAAAGTTGACAAAACAGCAGTGTGGTCCTTGTAATACCCATGACTAATGTTATTAAGACTAGTATAAAGGCTTAATATAAATTAAGCAAAACTAAGTTAAACTGAACTTTAATGGGTAGCTTAGGCCAGTGTTTTTCAAAGTGGGGGCCCCGACCCCCCCGGGGGGCCGCCAGGGGGGTCACGCAACGTTTGAGGGAAAGGGGATTTATTTTCTTTTTTTAAAGTTACTTTTTTCTTTTTTTTTAGATGTTATTAATAACTGCATATCTATCAATCTATGTGTCCTTTGATGCCAATCTTTTACTATTTTTTATTTATTAATATTTTATTTTTTATTTTCTAAATCACACGACCGCCCTTCAAGCCAATCAGAATCGTGCTGCCGCTACTGAGAGTGAAACTGAGTATCTGCTCAGCTTTTGGAGCAATTGAGAGCTAGTGAATATTTCGCTCTGCAGCTGGATGAGTGCAGGGATGTAGCAAATGTTGTTGTTTATATATATGAATATAAATATGTTTATAGAGTGGCGAAGTCACGCCCATCTACTTCCGGTCCATGGGACCTTATTTCGGAAAAATAATGTATTGAAGTCAATGGAGAGAGAAAACTTATCTTTCGATCCCGTTTGAATTGTGCCATGAATTACACATATGATGTTTGTCAATCTTAAAAAATAATGTCCATGTCAAAAAAGTCACAGTTTGTCGTAAAACTGTTGAAATATAAGACTATGAAAAATACGCAACTAGACTACAAATCCCCGAGTCGTGTAAGTGATGTCACAATTGTTTTCCTCCACTAAGAGATAGCTAAAATCAGCGCCAGATATAATCTATCTATATGGCGCCATATAGATAGATTATATCTGGCTAAAATAAAATCACAAGATGCCTGTGTGCTTAGTACCAGGTTGTTTGTTTTATTTATATAGCACATTTATAAACGATTTTTGGTCAAGACAAAGTGCTACACTGAACAAAAATATAAATGCAACACTTTTGTTTTTACTCCCATTTTTCATGAGATGAACTCAAAGATCTAAAACATTTTCTATATACACAAAATAACCATTTCTCTCAAATATTGTTCACAAATCTGAAAAAATCTGTGATAGTGAGCACTTCTCCTTTGCCGAGATAATCCATCCCACCTCACAGGTGTGGCATATCAAGATGCTGATTAGACAGCATGATTATTGCACAGGTGTGCCTTAGGCTGGCCACCATAAAAGGCCACTCTGAAACGTGCAGTTTTGCTTTATTGGGGGGGTCCGAAAACCAGTCAGTATCTGGGGTGACCACCATTTGCCTCACGCAGTGCAACACATCTCCTTCACATAGAGTTGATCAGGTTGATGATTGTGGCCTGTGGAATGTTGGTCCACTCCTCTTCAATGGCTGTGCAAAGTTGCTGGATATTGGCAGGAACTGGAACACGCTGTCGTATACGCCGATCCAGAGCATCTCAAACATGCTCAATGGGTGACATGTCCGGTGAGTATGCTGGCCATGCAAGAACTGGGATGTTTTCAGCCTCCAGGAATTGTGTACAGATCCTTGCAACATGGGCCCGTGCATTATCATGCTGCAACATGAGGTGATGGTTGTGGATGAATGGCACAACAATGGGCCTCAGGATATCGTCACGGTATCTCTGTGCATTCACAATGCCATCAAATAAAATGCACCTGTGTCCGTCGTCCATAACATACGCCTGCCCATACCATATATATCAGAAAACCGCTCACCCACACGACGCCACACACGCTGTCTGCCATCTGCCCTGAACAGTGAAAACCGGGATTCATCCGTGAAGAGAACACCTCTCCAACGTGCCAGACACCATCGAATGTGAGCATTTGCCCACTCAAGTCGGTTACGACGACGAACAGGAGTCAGGTCGAGACCCCGATGAGGACGACGAGCATGCAGATGAGCTTCCCTGAGACGGTTTCTGAGAGTTTGTGCAGAAATTATTTGGTTATGCAAACCGATTGTTGCAGCAGCTGTCCGAGTGGCTGGTCTCAGACGATCTTGGAGGTGAACATGCTGGATGTGGAGGTCCTGGGCTGGTGTGGTTACACGTGGTCTGCGGTTGTGAGGCCGGTTGGATGTACTGCCAAATTCTCTGAAACGCCTTTGGAGACGGCTTATGGTAGAGAAATTAACATTCAATTCACGGGCAACAGCTCTGGTGGACATTCCTGCTGTCAGCATGCCAATTGCACGCTCCCTCAAAACTTGCGACATCTGTGGCATTGTGCTGTGGGAAAAAACTGAACACTTTTAGAGTGGCCTTTTAATTAGTGCTTAAAAAATTTAAGAAATGTATCGCAGAGAGATGGCACAATTGGAGAAATGGTTGACATTAAACATTAAAAAGACCAGGCAGTTCAGAGAGAATCAAAGGAAGGCAGGCAGGCAGCTTTGCATGACATTCTTCTGGACGTGTTTCATTGTGGTGATAGTAGAAAATGTATTAAGCTGTTAGTGCCGAGAGATAGGGAGTCAGAGACGGTGCAATGAAGGTGCAAAAGGGAACTTTATTAGAGAGTAATACAGGTCATGTTGTCCAGTTGCAGTCCGGGAAGAAGAGAGAGAAGACAGGAGGGCACACAACATATATAGACAACACATACAATGTCCGTGTGGAAACAAAACCCCAACTGTAGTTCCATGTGTGAATTATGAACCAGTGTATTAATAGGTGGTCACCATGTTACCATGGTATGATTAATTTGTCATATTTTCCATCATAATGTAGGCTACTCATCATTTAAAAAAAAAAAATTGCAACAGGGGGGTCCCCGCCAGAGCCAACGTTTGGGAACCCCTGGGCTGTGCCAGTTTATTTGGTAGAATTTGTAATCGCTTTCTCATCCATGGCACCAGCATCTCTGAAATAAACTCATTAACAAGTTATATCGGTTATTTTGTCTGTACAAAAACCAAATTGCTTTAAAAAAGACGATGTGTGTACGTAGCTTGCAACCACCAGAAAGTTCTGGAAGTATAGGCACATGTCGTTTTTTAATTAAACATTTCTTTACACATTTTTGATCATTTGTAACACAAGTATATACCTTAATGTTTGGCCATGTGGTGCACGTGTACTTTAATTTGAATAAACTTACATTTCTGTTCGCAGTTGAACAATGTATGTGGATGCGCGGGACTTTAAACATAAGCCTGTCACTTTAAGAGAAGGGGGCGTGTCGTTTCTGGTGCTGTCCCTTTATTTGAATATACAGTAGTTCTACGAGGCTGGAGTCGGATTGCGTCGGATGTTTTTCGCCTTGTGAGAGGAGCACAGCGGGACATGTTGGTCGTAGTCGTCGTTAATGCTCATCATCCAGGCCTATATTTAACATTTGAATGATACCACTCAGCTAGGAAGGCGTTTTCTCCGCCGTATGCACACTCGAGGAGACGACACTGCACGCTAGCGACAATATGGACTTGCACATATTGGACCACAGGCTCCGAGTCATCAGCATATCCAAGAATGGGCTGGTGAATTTCACACACCCCCTGATTAAACTGATATTCCTCCGGAACAGGACACGGTAAGAAGATTATTATTGATCGGGGTCAAATGTTTGTGTGAATCACCCCGGTAATCCAGTACCGATATGAAATAACCCACAGCGCCTTTTCATTCAATGGGTGGCAGAGCCATTACTGGGGGTATCTGCCTGTGCATGCCCTGCTCTGCCTCCATGAGGGAGCGACTCATATGCATGTAGCTGTTGGGAATAACAGTAGATTATGACGTATATATAACGTTTGTAAAACTGCACATTAACCAAAAACAGGCCCTTTCTTTGGGAATGCATTCTAACAATGGAGATTTGATATATTCATTATATTTCTTTATTATCTAGGTTACATTTGAATAAACCTGCACCAGTAAACACTTTGCATGCTCTTAATATGCATGTATGTTGTAGTCCTGTGAAATACATGCACGCATACTTTTTCACATATGTTGCTTCAGCAGAACATGGAGAAACAATGTCTTTTAAGAGATGTTATCAAACACAAACTTGAACTTTGACCTCCTTTACCCAGGCCAACATCCCGTTTGCAAGTTGTACGCATCACATGTTGGCATTTGTACCAGTTTTCAGTTAATCCCTGGATATCCTCCCTTTGTTATGTAATTGTTTATTACTCTGGCTGTCCCACATATGCATGGCTAGAGCTCAACATCTGTCTTTGAGCTGCCCGTGATACATGACAGGCAGTGTCTCAGCTACATTTCAAGATATGAAGAAGTTGTCAGAGAAGATTTTCTTCCTCTGATTGCCTTTGTGCTCTGTGACTTCTGAAGTCTCGATAACACAACATCCTTGAGGATTTTAGCATCTTAAATTATAAGTAACAGCCCTTTAATATTCTGTTTATTTGCAACAGGACTAACCCATGTCGACGAGTGAGTGGATCATCATTACATTACATTACATTGCATTTAGCTGACGCTTTTATCCAAAGTGACTTACAATAAGTGCGTTCGACCAACAAAATACAAACTTGAAGAAAACAGAATCATATAAGTACATCAGGCTTCATAGAGCAAAAACATTTCAAGTGCTACTCAACTGGCTTTAGATAAGCCAGTCCTTTATTAGTATATAAGTGCTTTGTTAGTCGAAAGAGTCGAAAGAGATGAGTTTTCAGTCTGCGCCGGAAGGTGTGTAAGCTATCTGCTGTCCTGATGTCAATGGGGAGCTCATTCCACCATTTTGGAGCCAGGATAGCTAACCCACGTGTTTTTGCTGATGGGAACTTGGGTCCCCTTCGCAGCGAGGGTGCAGCGAGCCGTTTGGTTGATGCAGAGCGGAGTGCACGTGCTGGGGTGTACGGTTTAACCATGTCCTGGATGTAGGAAGGGCCAGATCCATTCGCAGCATGGTACGCAAGTACCATTGTCTTGAAGTGGATTCTAGCAGTTATCGGAAGCCAGTGAAGGGAGCGGAGGAGCGGCGTGGTGTGGGAGAATTTAGGAAGGTTGAAGACCAGGTGAGCAGCTGCATTCTGGATGAGCTGCAGAGGTCGGATGGCACATGCAGGTAGACCAGCCAGGAGGGAGTTGCAGTAGTCTAGGCGTGAGATGACGAGAGCCTGGACCAGAACCTGCGTTGCTTTCTGGGTCAGCTGGGGATGCATCCTCCTGATGTTGTAAAGCGTGTATCTGCAGCAGCGGGTTGTAGCAGCGATGTTTGCAGTGAAGGACAGGTTGTTATCTAGGGTCACACCCAGATTCCTTGCAGTCTGAGTCGGGGAAACAACAGAGGTGCCAATGTTGATTGTTAGGTCAAGAGTGGGACAATCTTTTCCCGGAAGGAAAAGCAGTTCAGTCTTGTTGAGCTTGAGGTGATGATCAGACATCCACTGAGAGATGTCAGCTAGACAAGCAGAGATGCGTGCGACGACCTGGGTCTCTGAGCGGGGAAAGGACAGAATTAATTGGGTGTCGTCAGCGTAGCAGTGGTATGAAAAACCATGCGGGCTAATGACTGGTCCGAGCGAGTTTGTGTACAAGGAGAAGAGGAGGGGACCAAGAACAGAGCCCTGAGGGACCCCTGTAGTTAATTGACAAGGGTCGGACTCGGACCCTCTCCAAGTAACCCTGTAGGTGCGGTCTTTGAGGTATGAGGTGAGGAGGGAAAGTGCAGAGCCTGAAACTCCAAGTTTTTGGAGAGTGCGAAGGAGGATCTGATGGTTCACCGTGTCGAATGCAGCAGACGGGTCCAAAAGGATGATGACAGAGGAGAGGGAGGCTGCTTTAGCAGTGTGCAGTTCCTCAGTGACAGCAAGGAGGGCAGTTTCTGTGGAGTGACCTGCCTTGAAACCAGACTGGTGCGGATCCAGAAGGTTGTTCTGATGGAGATAGCAGGAGAGTTGTTTAAAGACAGCGCGTTCAAGTGTTTTAGACAGGAACGGGAGGAGAGAGACAGGCCTGTAGTTTATAACATCAGACGGGTTGAGAGTGGGTTTCTTTAGGAGAGGGTTTACTCTTGCCTCCTTGAGACTGTTTGGAAAGTGACCAGAAGTTAGAGAAGTGTTGATGAAATGGGTGAGAAACGGTAGAATATCAGGAGCGATAGTCTGAAGGAGGTTTGAAGGGATAGGGTCCAAAGGACAGGTGGTAGGGCGGGCAGAGGTAATGAGTGTAAGAACCTCACTTGGAGAGAGAGGGGAAAAGGAGGTCAGTGTGTTGGTGAAAGGAGGGTCTGGTGACCCAGCGGTGAGTAGAGGTGAGTCAGAAAAAGAAGAGCGAATATCATCAACCTTTTTTCAAAGTGGTTAACAAAGTCGCTTGACAGAAGGGAGGAGGGGGAAGGGGCTTTGGGGGGGTCCAGGAGGGAGGAGAAGATGGAAAATAGTTTTTTGGGATTGGAATAGGAAGATTGGATCTTATCTTGAAAGAAAGTGCTTTTTGCCTGAGAGATCGAAGCAGAGAAAGAGGAGAGGAGAGCCTGATAGGTTAGGAGGTCGTCACGGTGTTTGGATTTCCACCATTTCCGCTCTGCTGCCCGAAGGACGGTTCTATTAGCACGCAGTGCATCATTTAGCCAGGGAGCAGGAGGGGACTGACGAGCCTGCCGAGATGTGAGAGGACAGAGAGAGTCCAGAGAGGATGAGAGAGTAGAAAACACTTACTGTTCATATCTTGTCAATTGACAGATAGATTAGATTTATATCCTGGCAAATGCTTCACATCCATTCATGCCTAGCTGCATCCATCATCATGCATTTGTCTCAGAGCATAGGATGAGACAGTAGGTTTTGACATGTCCATACCAGACGCACTGGCATGATGACGTTATAAACTACAAGGCCTATCCTAAAAAACTAACAAGCCACTGTGAATAATACAAGTTCTGTAATTGCGTCAGTATTTCAAAGGCACATGCCAACAGGTTCCTACTGAGCAATATTATCAGGAACTGCAGCTCCCAGATTTACAGTTAGTGTTTTAAAAGTGTTTGCCTACATTTCTACCTAAACAGGCGCTGTGATGCAGTCACTGTGAGTGTGGGGGGGAAAAGGAATCAACCAGAAAAAGCATGCAGGCCATTCTTCCTTTGATTAGTAGCCCTGTCTGTTTTTCAGTGTGTTGTTTTGCATGCTTTGGTGTTATATCATCATACTGTGGCATTATTGTGTTTTGCTTGGTTTTTCCTGTTCTTTTTCTATAGCATGGTTTGTTTACCCTCCCCCCCATCCTCTGTGTTCAAACTATAGACAATTGAGATTGGGGAGTGGTGGAGAAAATTGAGTTCATAGCAACTAAAAACAATGGAGCAAAAACAAGCCTGATTGCCTTGGTTGGTTTTTGCCATCTCCCTCTTTCAGGCCCCTGCTATTCATTAGCAAACAACTCCCTGTGAGTGCGCTCAAAGTGATTTGAAAGCAGTCCTGAGCATAATTTTAAGAAGGTTATAATCACTTATAGGAGCTGGATTTATCTGAAATTGTAAGAATGTAGCTGTTCCTTTTTAACATCATCCAGCACAACTAAGGGATTAAAACACCTGTGGATGGAGGATGAAAGTAGTTTGAGACTTTGCCTTGTCAAAAAATTAGAACCCTTTTTGATGAGGCACAACATTGCATCAGCTTCGATGTTAATCTGTGATGTTTAGCTATTGACATCAAAAGGGTTAAGGTATGAGAAAAGTCAAATGTCCTCATACTGTAAGGGAGGATTTAGCTCAGGCCTTTTGTTTGGTTTTAGGACGGTGTTGCCATGAATCATGTTAGATGTGTGCTATAGTGGTAAGGATTACAGGCAAAGAGAATGAGTTTTTTTAATTTGCTTGTATGTATCTTCACGCACTCTTACAAAAAGTGTATGCTTCTGTTCAACACTTTTATTAGCTTGCAAGCTTTCATTCTATACATAGTCGTAATTTGTTGTTTGGAGTGTATGGTAGTAAACTAAGCCCAGTACTCAGCCCAAAAATATCGGTGTTACTGTACTTTAGATGCAGCCCTGCAGGCTCCACAGAGTCCTTCTTTCTTCTTTTTCTGCAGCTCCCTAACGAGAGCATGGGTTGGAACAATGCCTCAGCTGAGCCAGAAACCCCGGTGGCGAGTTTTCCACTTGTCTGCTTCAGTGAACTGTCAAGGTTGGGGCTGTTGCTCCCCACTTTTGCACAAGGCTGCCCCCCTGCCTCTAATAACATGCAGGCATTTGAAGAAAAAAAAAAAACCTTCCCCATTGTTCTGAATAAAGAGTAGGTCGTGAGAACGCTACAGACCATTTTTTCGAAAGCAGCCGAGGTAGCAGACAGCTTTGTTGTTCACTGTCAGTGGGGCTGAGGTGACTTGAGGATCCTTCCTCACGCTTCAACAACATCAGTTTTCTCCGCTTCTTATCATGTTTCCTCAGCTGGAGCATGAGTTGCACAAACCCCACAACCAACTACCGCCCATTGCTTTGTGCAGCTGGATCAAAGTCCAGACTCTGGTATGCTTGGTTTTCATCTTCCCCACTCAGCCGCTTCCTCGCTACCTGTTGCTTCCTCGTCCTTTTTTTGTTATTTTCTGTCTCCTC